AACTGGGAGGAGGGTAGAGAGAATAGTGCAACAATGAATGAATGGAAACCCAAAATCTCTGTAAATGTTTATGAAAATTAATAAAACATAGAAAATAAACTGGAAAAAAAAAGAAAAATAAGCAAACTAAAAAAAAAGAATTTATTATTTGTGTGTGTATGTATTGTCAAATTGGATCTGACTGGTACAGGAGGAGATTGCCCCTCCTTCTCCAGCAGAGCATATGGTGGATTCGAACTGCATACCTCTGGGATTGCAGTGCAGCTTCTTGCCACTTGACCTCCAGAGCTCCCTACATTTACTATATTCTTTGAGATGTAAAATTATTCTCACGTTCCTTTTTTGAGGTGTTTGTACCTCGATCACTGCCCTCAGCAATTCCTAATACTGAACCTTTGTTAATTAGATCTCTTATGTAGATCTTAAAAGAGTATAATACTGAGGACAGACATTCTTTTATAAATGAAATGAAGACTTAAGGGGATATTTTTATTTTAAAGTTTAAGGATTTTCTAATTTAATTTTTTTTTAATTTAATTTTTTTAAATATTTCTATTTGTTTGCATATTATCGTTCATATACATCATTTTTGTCCATGTACTTTGTGTTTTATTCCTCGAGCTCCTCCTACCTCCATAATTCCAGAAGGTCTGGATCCCATAAGGTTTTGGAATTTTGTTAATCATTTCCTCCTTTTGTAGAATCTTTGATAAAATGTTCAGCAATGGTAGTTAGACACCCTCCTGTTCTGGTCTCAAGGCAAAGGAACAAACTATTTATGGAGAAAATTAGCTGCACATTCCCTTTCCTTCTTCTATTCCTGACTCTCCTTTATATTCTGTTGCACCAGGCAAATAAAGAACAATTGTTCTGATTATTCTACAGCTTTTTTTTTTCCAGTAAGAATCAACTTGGAAGGGATTACATTTAGACCCCATCTATTATGGCCTCATTGACATAATGAATTAAAACTCTTTGTTTTCACATAGGTTAATATTTATAGGCACAAGGACTAGAATATCCTTATTGCATTTTAGAAAGATGTGATTCCACCAGCTTCTCTGTGGGAGAAAGATAGGCAACTCTCCTATTCACAGCCTCTGAAAATTCACTGGAGAATGAGCTACGAGTTGGTTCTGTCTCAATGGTACCTAACAAAAGACAGTTACTTTCCTGGTTGGTACTTGAAAACAAGGACTTTCTGCTTTAGTTCAGATTTTATCTAGCTCTATCTTGGGTTTAGAGACAGCTTCATGGAGTATATTGAGGCCTAGATTCTGAAGTCAAACTTCCTGGGTTCAAATCCTAGCTCTACCACTTAGACCTGTAGACAAATGATGTGTGATGTGGCTTACTTCTCTATAAAATGGGTCTGCGTTGTATAAGTGTTACTAGAATTAAATGAGCTAATGCATGTAAAGCTTTGGTACAGTGCCTGATAAACGTGTGGTAGGAGCACCTGTTAAGTAGTATGTAATTAGAATAAATATGTGTGACTATCATATAGTTGCTTAGTGGACCTGTGGAATCTAGAAAGTTGTCGTTTCGCTAATTACTAAAATATTATCCTACATGATCTTCCCAATAAACAACTGGATCAAAAAGAAAGGACACGTTGGTTGATAAATAGCCCCTAAATAAATCCATGCAGTCTATGAACTCATCAATCATAAATGCATGCAGTCTATCGTTAATCATACGAATTGGTTGAGACTGACTTCATTCTGTGGGTTTTGCAGTTGGTGATGTACATTGGCCAGGTGGCCAAGGATATCTTGAAGCTGCCCCGGCCCTCCTCCCCGCCCGTTGTGATTCTGGAGAAGAGAATGGTTGCTGAGTATGGGATGCCGTCCACCCACGCCATGGCAGCCACTGCCATTTCCTTCACCTTCCTGATCTCAACCTTGGAGAGATATGAGGTGAGGTGTCACTCTTCTTCCTCCCTGGTGCGTGGGACACACAGAGGTCTGGGGAAGACTTTTTCCTTTTACAGACGCTCCGGAAGAATTTGAGACTTAAGAAATCAAGACGAAGGGAAACTGGGACCTTTTGAGCCATCACTTTTCATTCCCTCATGATGAAAGTTATCACCTAACTTAGCAGAATTGGAACTTTGTCCTTAACATTTGTACATGATTTTGCCCAATCTTCGTTTATGCCCTGTGTTCTAAGCCTTCTCAAAAACTAAAGCTATTGTTAGCCAGTTTTATTACTGCAGCCTGTGGCCTTCAGATCATAGCATTGCTCATCTACTTTATGCTTTGGTCAGCATTGTTTACTTCCTAGATTCTAATCTCATAATCCAAACCCACTGCCATTGAGTTGATTCAACTGATAGATACCCTTTTATCAGGTTGCTGAGGTTGTGTCTCAGGAGTTCAGACAGCTTCATTGTTCTTTAAAGCTGCAGGGAGCTTTGTACTGCTGGCCTTTCCTCTTGCAGCCAAATGTTTATTCTACTGTTGCTTTTGTTACGTGTTGTGTCCTTGAGTTGATTCTGACTCATAGTGACCCTTTGTACAGCAGCCCTAAACCCTGCTCTATCCAGAACCAATTTCATTGTCTCTGACACACCTACCCCCATTACTCCAGTCACTGAGTCAATCCATCTCATCCAGGGTCCTTCTCTCCTGCACTGTTCCTCCGCCCTCTCAAGCATGATGTTCCTCTCCAAGGACTGGTCCCTCCTTGCAGCCCAAAGTATGTGAGACGAACCTTCAGAATCCTTGACTCCAAGGAACATCCTCATTTCACCCTCTCCAGAATGAGCCTGTTTATTCTCCTAGCAGTCCATTGTGTATTCATTCAGTACTCTCCTCCAGCACCACAGCTCAAAGGCATCAATTCTTCTATCAACCTCAGTCATTGTCCAGCTCTATACCACCTTAATCTAAGAGGAGGTAGGGAAGCAAATTATTGATCTCATTAAAACTGCCAACCTGACGATTGAAGTCATGCATCTTAAAGCCGAGTCTTATTGGGTCTTGTTTGCATATTTGTAAATTATAAGCAACCCCCTCTTGCCATTCTCCCCTAGGCACCTCTCATTTCCCCTTCCTTCCATGACCCCAGGTTAAAAAAAAAAAGAAAGAATGGCTTTAGATCATGCAGTTGCTGGTAGCTGGGATATGAGATTCAGCGCAGCTGTGACTGGATGGTGAATTCTGTTCTTCAGCATCAAACTGTAAATGTCCAAGCATGATCTGAGATCCTAGTTTTCACTGCTGTCCTTGTTTCCACAGTATTCTTTTGTATGGGGACTGATGGTGGCCGTGGTGTTTTCGACCTTGGTGTGTCTCAGCCGGCTCTACACTGGAATGCACACAGCCCTGGTAGGTGTGGGACTCAGAGCTTGGGATGACTGGGTGAATAGCTCCATGGTCAGTATGTCAGTAATTCATCTCACTGCTTATTTACAAAACCATTAGCATACTTAATGATACTTCTCAACAAGCCAATAATTGTTGTTATTTTCTATGACATGTGACTATCTTTGAGTCTGAGCAAGGAGGTTGTTAGGTGCTAGGATAGACTCTCAAAGTGGAAGATTGAGGACAGCAGTGGCCAGTGCTCCTTACACTGGCCTTTACATGGATAACTGATCAAAATTCATTTTTACGAATGCACAGTATGAATAAAATATCAAAATTTAAAGTGAAGGTAAGAGTTGAGCCAAGTATTTGCATTACCTGTCTTGACTTGCCCCATCCTAATTCCTGCCCTGAAGAGAGTATAGTTTCAGGGAAGGAGGCACCACGATCTTGGAAATGTTCAAGGAGCAATTAGGGAGCAATATTATTATCATTCAGCCTACCCCAGGCCATCCATCCTTGCAGTCTTCCACTCCAGTGGACCCTGAGTCTGGCAGCTTCTAAGAGGAGATGGAAGGAGGGGAACGCATTTTCAGTATCATATGCAAGCAAGATTCTGCTGAAAATGATCCAAAAACGTTTGGAACAATATGTCAACAGAGGACTGCCAGATGTGCGGGCTGGATTTAGAAGAGGTTGCGGTACTAGGGATATTATAACTAATGTAAGATGGATCTTGGCAGAAAGCAAAGATACCAGAGAATGTCTATCTGTGCTTTATTGACTATGCAAAGGCTTTTGACTGTGTGGATCACAACAAGCTGTGGCTGACTCTGAGAAGAATGGGAATCCCAGAACATTTGATCGTGCTAATGCAAAACCTATACTTGGACCAAGAGGCAGTCATCAGAATAGAGCAGGGAGACACTGGATGGATCAAAATCAAGAAAGAGGTCCGTCAGAGATGTATTTTGTCTCCATACATTTTCAATCTGTATGCAGAACAGATCATCCAAGATGCTGGGCTGTACGAGGAAGAATGTGGCATCAGGGTTGGTGGAAGAATCATCAACAACCTACGTTATGCAGATGACACAACCCTGCTTGCTGAAACTGAGGAGGACCTGAAGCACTTGCTGCAGAAGGTCAAGGACTGCAGTCTTCAATATGGATTGAAGCTCAACATCAAGAAAACAAAGATTCTCACCACTGGGCCAATTGGAAGCGTCAGTATGGATGGTGAAGAGATTGAGATAGTTAACAGTTCTAGTTTACTTGGCTCCACAGTCAACACTCTTGGTAACAGCAGCCAGGAAATCAGAAGACGAATTGCACTGGGGAAGTCAGCTGTGAGGGACCTCTCAAGAGTACTGAAGTGCAACGATGTCAGGCTGGAGACTAAGGTGTGCCTGATCCAGGCTACAGTCTTTGCAATTAGGTGCTATGCATCAGAGAGTTGGACAGTGAATAGGGATGATAGAAAGAGAATTGATGCCTTTGAGTTGTGGTGCTGGAGAAGAGTGTTGCATATACCATGGACTGCTAGGAGAACAAACAGGTTTGTCTTGGAGAGGGTGAAGCCAGAATGTTTCTTGGAGTCAAGGATTTTGAAGCTTCATCTGACATACTTTGGGCATGTTGCAAGAAGGGACTGGGCCTTGGAGAGGAACATCATATTTGGGAGAGTGGAGGGACGGTGCAGGAGAGGAAGCCCCTCGATGAGATGGATCGATTCTGTGAGTGAAGTGTTGGGAATGAATGTGTTTGAGGCAGCAAGGTTGGCACAGGATAGAATGGCGTTTAGCGCTCTTGTACATAGGGTCGCTATGAGTAGCAAATGACTCGATGGCACATAACAACACTACTGTTTTGCATTGCATTATAAGAAAGCACTCTCCCAATGTTCTTGAACTTTCTTGGCACTTTTTTTTTTGGTACTTCCCTTATTTGTGACCATTTTTTAATTCCATTAGAGTGCAGAAATTATAAAATAGTATCATTAATATTACAACCAAGTAAAACTTTGCTGAAGGCTATGAAAAATTAATGAAGCAGTACATCAATTGGGAATTGCCAGAAATTCAGGCTGTACTCAGAAAAGGCTGTAGAATGAGATATACCAATCATGACATCAGATGGTTCTTAACTAAAAGCAGCAAATGCCAGAAAGTTGTTTTGTTTTGGTTTTTTGTGTATTTTCTTTTGGTTATCATGAATGTTCCACTTAAAAGTTTGTACTTAAAACATTCTAGGATAAATTTGTCTCAACTTAAGTTCAGTAATATGTAAATAATTCTGTATCTATGCAATACCTGCCCATCATTTTTGTTGATGTCATTGATTACATGTTCAAATTTCATGTGCCTATAATTTTATCTTGGCCTTTTATATGTTTGTTAGAGGCATTTGACTGAATGGATCATAATAAATTATGCCTAACATTGAGAAGGACAGAGTCTCAGAACACGTAAATTGTGCTCAGGTGAAATCTATGCGTAGACTAAGAAGTAATTGTTTGAACAGAGCAAGGGAATACTCTCCATAGTTTAAAATCAGGAAAACTGGGTTTCAGACTTCTATCATTCTCCATACTTAGTCTATGTATTGAGCAAGTTATACAAGATGCTGTACTGTGAACAAGAATGTGGCATCAGGATTGGAGGAACTCATCAACAAACGATGTTGTGCAGATAACATGCAAAAAGTGAGGGAAACTTTAATCACTTATTGAAGATCAAAGACTATAGCCTTCAATATGGATTACAACTCAACATCAAGAAAACAAGAATCCTTACAAGTGGACCAATAGACAATGTCATAGTAGATGGAGAAAAGTTAACACTGTGAGAGGTTATATTTTACTTGGATCCACAGTCAACACTTACCATGTTTTAGCACAGCTTTTTGCCAATAGGTCACCAAAATTCCCCTAACACCTAAGGTGTTTTTATTGGCCTTGCTAAAGAGTTTGACCTCTGTGCTGTAGATTTTTTTGGGTGAAATTGCTTGATGACATTTGGAAAAGATATCCTGGCAGTGGTGAGAGAACAGATTTGAGAAATACTCAAGAGCCAGTATTGACTTGGCTCTGTCACTGCCTGACTGATTGGGACGTGGATAGAAATTGCTGCCAGAGTCTCTTGCTCAGGAGCTTGGTAAACAGCGCACTCTTCCCTGAGGGCTTCCCAGAGCTGGTTTATCAGAGGTAGTGACACAGCTATGCACAACAAGCCTCTCATTGAGCTTTGCTCACCTGCCCAAGAATCTGGCTGGAATCTTATCTGTGAAATCATGACATCAACAGCAAGTGGCTTCCATCCGATACTGAGTTGGGTTGCTTAACATGCGCAATGAGCAGGTGATTTCTTTACAGGAATGCCTCTTCCCCATATGCACTGGGAGCTTTTGGAAGTTGGCAGCCAAGGGCCGTAGCAATGTTCCAGTTTCTGATTCTTGCTCCTGATGGCCCCACATGTACCAGAGTAGAGCTGTGCTCTGTCAGGTTTTCAATGGCTCATCTTTTAGTAGTAGATCACCAAGCCTAAACCTCGGGGTGGATTTCAAGTTCTTCTAGCCTTTTCAGTTAGGAGCTGAGCATGATACCTGCCTGTCCCACCCAAAGACCTTGTGGGCATCCTGACCATGGGTTAATGTGGATTAATGTGGATCATGGTTTCTGTGGACATCAGAGGTGCCTACAGAGCTTTCATTCCCACTTCCTTCTTTTTCTAAAATTAATTTTAATGAAAATTTACAGAGACTTAGGGTTTGCATTCATTCACTGTTGCACGTTTCTCCCTGCCAAACTCCCTTCCCCCCCCAACTTGTGTTTT